AGGCAAATAGTACTTGTTCGGTTGTTTTGCCATACTTAAATAACATAACCTAAGCGATGAAATTGGGTCTTTAGGCAGAAAGCCATTCTGTGGTTTGCTGGCTGCCATATGCAAATAACCTAACTTAATCAAACGGAAGTCAAGATGGGAAAACGGATGATAAAAAAATTAGCGCTGTACTTGAAGGCACAGGCTATAATAATAATAAAATTATTATCTGAAATTTTAGATTTCTCTCTGAAATTTCGAAAATTTGTAAAATTTGCGTTTCACTGAATGGCAGCGCACATTTTTATACACTAATATTTTTAAAAAATGCAACACGAGGAAGGAATTATGCAAATTGAACTGTAGAGATATTAGGTAATTTGGAAGCAGGAAAGATGAAAAATGAGCAACTGCCTTCGCCGGGAATCGAACAGCGGACCTCTGGAATGCGCGCCTAGTGTGCAGACCACCACATCACGAAGGCATGTCAAGAAGATGGGAGAAATACTTATAGAACCAAACGTATATAAAGTGAGGTAAGACATGCAAATGATTAGAAGTATAAAGCGATTACGCATGCGTGGAATGAGAACCGGAGGCTTGTTCCATGTATATAAAGGACTAAAGTTGCGTTGAAATCTGTTTATCGTCTTCTGCCTGCGGTGAACGTTTAATTAGTTCCCAGTTTGCGTCGTCAACAGTGGAGTGTGCCATACCAACAACTAATGGATTTCGAACGAGGTCGCATCTTCGGTATGGGAGAGGGTGGACTTTCATATCTAACAATCGCAGCGCACACGCAGCTAATGCCACAACAGTCATGCGTGTTGGGAAGAAATGGACAGAGGAGAACCAAACAAGACGAAATTCTGGCAGCGGGGCACGGCAATAGCACAACGGATCGGGAAACCAACACTATACCTCATTCGCAGGGCTGTGACAGATCGTACAGCGTCCTCTATTGTGTTGGCAAACGTTGAAGCACAGCTACAGGTGTTGAGTTGACGAGCTCCACATTTCGTCGCTGTCTGCTGCAGCATGAACTGCGTGCAAGAGTTCCTCTACGCAGGATTCTCCTATCACTGAACCACGGAAGCCTCCGAGTCCAACGGGCACGGCAACACAGGGCGTGGCGTGCGTTGTGGCAGAAAGTTGGTTTCTCTGATGAATCTTGCTACAACCTGAAGCACGATGATGGAATTGTTCGCGTCAAATATTAAAAAGGGGAAAGGTCTGCTGCCCCAGCGTGTTATCCAGCGTCATACCACACAATCGCCTGGCATCATGGTGTGGGGAGTTATTGGGTATAATTGTTGATCCCATCTAGTGCAGATTGCGGGCAACCTCAACAGTGATCGCTACATAAGTTGTGGAGCCAAAGATTCTCCCCATTCCAGGCGCTGTATATCAGCGATATAATGTTCATGCACATGGTTCTAGGACTGCACAAGCCTTCTTTAGGGTACAACGGGTTTCTTTTCTTCCATGGCCTGCTTATTCCCCAGATATGTCGCCCACTGGACATGTCTGAAATTTCATCGGTCAGCGACTCGTTCGTAGAGCTGGTGGGGCACACACTAAGACTGAACATCGACGTCAACTCGAAGCCATATGGAATGCTATTTTCCAGGATTGCATTGTCATCGTTCAGTGTGGCGGACACACAAAGTATTGATCTCCGACGTCCGCAACTTTTTTTTTTTTTTTTTTTTTTTTTTTTTTTAGTGTGTGTCTTGTAAATCTGACCATTTATGTCCGACAATTCCTTCATGGTGCTGCACGTTTCACAAACATTAGTGTATGCGTTTTATAATCAAATTTAAAACGTCACTATCTTACCCTTTGCTGACTCTTTTTTTTTTTTTTTTTAATCGGCGGCTGCTCCACAGAAATTGATAGTTGAAAAGACAAGTTCCAGTACAGATTAAAAAAAAAGAGAGAAAGAGTGACTATTCAGATTGTAAAGTCTATGTCTCCTTGGGAACATAAAATATAGACTTTAAAAGGACCACTGAAGAATTATCTTCCAGACTTATGAAACAAAACAGAAATCAGAAGAATGCTGTATAAGACCCATTTATTCGAAGACAGCTCAACGGATGACTTAACTTGGGTTTACATAAACCAAGCACTTCTGGCTTAACAGAAATACGTAACAAATAACAATTTCAAAGCGTGATAAATTAGTCTAACGGCTCACAGAATACTTTAACACGCAAGGAAGGCCCTGGTTTGTAGTAGACCGACGAGACAAAGCCAAATGGCTAGAAACACTCAACATCACGAACTCAAGTTGCTCATAATCGCGGCACAACTTGGCCTGGAATAGGCAGACACACTCTGAAACTAACTTTCGAAGCTCTTACTTAAATAGTTCTTTCTAGCTTAATCTGAATAAACTCTCGCTATCTTATTTATATTCTGGCATGAAAAGCGTGGGTAAAAAGAGAGTAATAATAAAGCAGTCAAACTAAAAATGAACTATTAGTTAAAAATAAATAGATAAACCTAACAAGGTAATGTTGACCGTCTCTGCAAACTAATATTTTAAATCGTTGTGATAATGTTACTAATTTTGTATAACTTACCATGGACTGCAGAAAAAATAAGCTTGCCTCGCCAAGTCTATTTAACATTGAGGTAATTGGCTATGGCGAGATAGTCTCAAATTGGCGATTAATTTTTATCGCCAAATTTAGCAAGAAATCTCCAAAATTCGCCAAACTTGGCGATCATTGGGTGACATTTTGGTCAGATCTTTGTGTAACTGTAATTACTCTGATCCCGATACGTAACTATATCCAAATCTATATGTAACTGTAACTGTATATGTCTTCCAGAAACTTCGAGTAATCACAGGTACTAGCAACTTCTCAGTGGACGGGAGTAAACTATATAAGAATGGAGAGAACATCAGTTCTCAATGAAGTTCAGAGTTTAGCTTAGAGTACTCAGATCACTACTCGAGTTCACGCTTTCAGGTTTTTACTTCCATGTACGAAGTAAAAAGGAAGTATTGTAATCGCGAAAAGTTTCAGGCAGCATATTTCGAAAATATCCATTTTGACCACTATCGAATGCAATTTAACGATGTTTTTGCGTGATATCTGTACGTAAGGACAGAATAAAAGACTCGTTTCCTCCAATATATATATATATATATATATCAAACTGCTTTAAAATGAATTCTGAAGAGAATTTTTCGTGGCGTCTGTACGAACGTATGTACGTACGTATCTCGCATAACTCAAAAACGAGTAGCCTCAGAACGTTGAAATTTTGAATATAGGACTGCTATAACATGTAGATGTGCACCTCGTATTTTGGTTGCAATCGGTCGCACCAAACGTATGTAAATATAGTTATATATATATCCACTCTGTTACCCGGCTCAGTGATCTCAGTTTCTTTACTCTCATATATGTTTGTAATTTGTACATTTTTTGCTTTAAAAAATGATTGAATTGTGTTGTTTTTATCTTCCGGTTAAGGTTTTTGTGCCTTTAGTAAATCTGTATGCAATATTTTTAGAATTATCAACAATTTTAAAGTTGTTTAAGTGCCGCTAAGCCTTTTTTTGATGGCGGCCATTGATTGTTTACATTTGAAACAGCAGACTAGTGGATTTGTTGCCAATCTAGAAAAACTTAGCTTCTCAACAACAAAGATAACGCCTTCATTTATTATTGCCAATTAAATCATGCTTAATCCTTTCTGGAATTTTTTCGAGGAAATAATAAGTGTTTTAAGATTTACTTCGTAATTTTTAATATAGATATTTTGAGTTTTTATGTATTTTTGCCTTCTCGCGAAGTGAGAACTGAATTGATTGAATGAGAAATACTCAATCGTCTGTGAAAAACAGTTTCTTTTTTTGTTTTGTTTGCTTAATTTCTTTTATACATCGTTCTAGCTTTATTATAGTATTTGAATAGAACATGTGGCAACAATTAGATAATTCTATTCTTTAAATGATATAAATTTTGTGCATTATGAGTTATAATATGAACGAAATATAATACTGTTAAGTGAATCTAACGCCAGAGTGTCGCTATGGTAAACAAATACTAGAGTGAATTTTAAAGAATGCATTTATTCTATTGTGGTTTATGCGCTGTCCGCGAAGTAGTTTTAATTTAATCCAATACGTTTAAATGAAATGCAAGAAAAAATGCGTATAATTTAATATTCCGTACAAGGAAGTCATGTGGTGTACACATCAGATTTTTTTATATTGTTTTGATTTTAACGTTCTGAGTAGAGTAGTTTGAGGTTTGCTCTGTCATACTGAGAAGAGCTGTGTAAGTTCTTTTACGAAAGGTTTTATAACTTTAAAGTATATTTTTAGGAAAATAAATTTTATCTAGCTATGATCGGTGGTTCTTCATGCATTCAATCCATTACGAAATTGTACTCAAGAACAGTACTTTAATTTTATCAGAAGTTAAGAAATAAGAAAAGGCATTCGTTTTTAAAACTGACAACGAGAAGCGATTAGAATTCTAAACTTGTGCTTACAATTTTCTGTTTCAGTTAACAATCCCAATTTCAATGTATCTGTACCTTTAACTTTTAAGAAAATTATTTCGTAGTTGTTTTCATTTTTTATTAATAAATGGCGTCAATATTGTTGCAATCACACGGGAATATGCTCGCTTAATATATAGTTGCCTGCATGTGTCGCCATCTATTAGCACGAATGAGAAGTGCAGCAATGCACATGGCCTTAAATATGATAATGACTTTGGGATTTGATCCTGAGTCTCCTATATGTGAGTCAAATTCTCTACCACTAGAGCAAAAGAGCTCCTTTGCGGTAGGTCAAGAATTCCGATTCTTTCAAATTTGAGATTTCTCGGGATCGCTACATTTGTACATTAAAATATGTATATTCTGCAGTATATATAAATATCCTACAGTAAAATATCTGTGTTAAAATTTAAGTGTGTATTTTTTTTACGATAGTATTTCTTCATAAAATGAATAATTTTATGAATAAATAAAGAAAGCCGTTCACAAAATATACTTTATTTTACTGATGCCTTTTTTAAAAATGGCGACGACTAACTTAGAATTCTACAGATATATTCTTAAACGTTTTGTACGTCTGTATTTTCAAATATCTACGCATTTGTAGTATGTAATAAGTATTTGAAGTACGTATTTTTGTTTCATTTGCAGTATGTACATATTTTCTTTCATTACAATGTTTTGCAAATTAAGGAAAACATTAACTCATTTTGTCTGTCAGACACAATGAATAGATGCCGAATCCACGTAATATGACATCTGTATGAGACCAGAAGTTCATGAAGTATTTGAAATTCACATTTCAGAAGCTACATATAATTTATCTGAATATCATTATAATATAAATAGTTATATGTATATCTTTCAGCATTTCGAATCTGACGTAAGCTCATCAGTTTTGGGCAGTTGGACGGAAGTATCACAGTCGTTCAGAAGGCGAGCTGAATGAACACCTATAGAGTCAATGACGACGGTCAGCGGTTGATTCGTGGCATCGTATTCATCAAATTCTTCGCTTATGGTCGTGAGGGGATTAGAAGCACAATTATTACTAGCGCCACTCTTAGCTTGATAACTGCTGCAACCTGACGTTGATGCTGGTACTTCCTGAGATGAGGTAGGTTGGTTGTAGGTCGGGGAAACAGGATTCTCTGGCAGGACTTCAGTAAAGTTTGAGCTTTCGTTCGAATTTGGTCTGAAATATGAAATACGGTTTCGTTAGAAAATTATCCCACATCTCCTCATAGTGTCATAAGTAGAATAATAAAATAGCACATGTAAATTTTCGAATTAAAAAATTATTTAACAATAGTTTTTTAGTCCAAAGGGATTTGAATCCCGAAGGACTATTAGTTTCGTTTTGGCATTTTGCGTCGGACTCATAAATGTCGGTTCACTTTTCAAACTGTTGCCACAAAATGTTAGAGTCCTGCATTATATTTGAAGAAATTAAATAATGAAAAATCTGCATAAATGTATGTATATTTCTCGTATTGTGATAAAACAACGGTACATAGAGTCATCGAATTTTGAATAACGTAATCCTCCAACGAATATGAGCATGTGGAAGACCGAATTTGAAATTTGAAATTTGTTTTATGATCGATTTCTTATTTTTTAAAACTTTGACGAATTTTTGATTAACAAACTCAAGGATTTCAAAGCGAGCAGTGGCAACGTTGTGCAGAAAAAACATTTTTATCTCCAGCGCGTGAGTCTCTGTATCGGAAATTCTAAAGATAGGCTCGTTTTAAAACTATTTTGCGATATTGCTGTTGCACTGGATCTTATGGTTTAAGTGCGAGGAACATGATATTTAATAAAGAAAGGTAACACACAAAATGTTAAAAAACGCCCCTTTGGACGTAATTTAAAATCTGAAACATTTCAGATTTTTTTTTTTTTTTATTTTTTTTTATTTTTGAGTCTATTCAAATATAAATGCTATGAACTAAAATGAACGACAGAATTTTTTTACCCAAACGGTTGTTAGTCCAGAATGGCTATTAGTCTCGAAACGGCATTTTGCCTCGAATCACTATAAACGGCTGTATGGCTTTTCAAATTGTTGCCACAAAATATTATCGCATTGTATTATATTTAAAGAAATTAAATAATGAAGTTGTGGCTTTTTTGCCAAGAGCAGAGTTAGATGGAGAGAAAGTGAGCCGCCTTGACACTGCATTTCACACCAGCTTGCCATCAGTTGTTGTCTGCCTTTAAGACCAGAGGTTTTATTCCTCTCGAAAGCTAAAGACGTACTGTATTTTCCGTAGTTTGCGTTCTACATACGTAATAATTTAAAAGGCCAGTCTTAGTGTTAGTCATCTGTGTAAAGTATTCAAAGTTAGCTTTTATTTAAGTTTTAGTTAGTCAGTAGTTTTTATATTTTGACGTTCAGATCACAAGTGATTGGTCTTTGTATCCCGAAGTGCAGGAACGCCTGTAATATCCTGGAAAATAAAGGGTAATTTAACCCTTCTCATCTTGTCATCTTTGCTACACTCCATAGGACATAGTTTGTAGTCAAATTCACTATCTAGTCAAGATACATCATGTTCGTCAAACAGATTAGAATGAACAGTAGTCCTGATAGACTGTCTATCGGAAATTCTAAAGATATGCTGTTTCCAATAATTTTTAGCGCAAAGGGAAATTGGCCCAAATGCTCTCGAAATGTGTAAATGAAAAAAAAGTCACTTTGGGCGCAATGTAAAATCTGAAAGCTTTCATATTTCTTTTAGTTATTTACTTACTAGCCCAAAGGAGTGTTAGCTCAGAAAGGCTATTAATTTCGTTTTGGCATTTCCGTTGGTTCATTATAAAAGTCTCAATTATTTTAAAATTGTTGCCAAAAAATATTAGAACCCTGCATTATATTTAAACAAATTAAATGATGAAGAACCTGCATGAATGTATGTGTCTTTCTCGAATTGTGAAAAAAAACTACGGTACCTAGAGACATCGAATTCTGAATAATGTTGTCCTCCACTCGAATATGGGCATCTGGAAACCAAATTTAAAATTTGGAACTTGTTTTATTATCTGTTTTCATATTTTGTAAAACTTTAACGAATTTTTGATTAACAAACTCGGCGATTTCAAAACCAGCAATGACAACACTGTGCGGGAAAAAAAAAAAAAAAAAAAAAAAAAAAATCTCCAGCGTGCGAGACTGTGTATCGGAAATTCTAAAGATATGTTCTTTCAAAATTGTTTTGTGATATTACTGTTGAATTGAAATTTATGGTTAAAGTGCGAAAAATATGGTATTTAATAAATGAAAGGAACTCAGAAAAGGTTAAAAAAAGTCCCTTTGGGAGTAATATACAATCTGAAAGCTTTCAGATTTAATTTAAATTTTTTTTCATTGTTGACATTTAGTCCAAAGAAGGCTTTGTCCCTGAAGGACTATTGTTTTCGTTTTGCAATTTTGCGTTGAATCACTATAAATGTTTGTTTAACTTCTCAAATTGTTGCCACCCAATGTTAGAGTCTTGCATTATATTTGGATAAATTAAACAATGAAAAATTGCACAAATGTATGTGTATTTCTCGCCTTGTGATAAAACAACGGTACATAGAGCCTTCCAATTTTGAATGACGTAAACCTATTGCGAATATGGGCATCTGAAATCCCAACTTTGAAATTTGGAATTTGTTTTATGATCGATTTCATATTTTGTAAATTTTTAACGAATTTTCGATTAACAAACTCAACGATTCCAAAGCTAGCAATGGCAACGTTGCACAGAAAAAACATTTTTATCTCCAGCACGCGAGACTGTGTATCAGAAATTCTAAAGATATGGATATTTTAAAATTATTTTGCGACATTGCTATTGAACTGAATTTTATGGTTTAAGTACAAAGAAAATGATATTTAATAAATAAAGGTAATACACAAAACGTTTAGAAAACGCCTCTTTCGACGTAATTTAAGATCCGAAACCTTTCAGTCCAAAGGGGCTTTGTGTTTTCGTTTTGCGATTTTGCGTCGGACTCCTATAAACGTCGGTTCACTTTTCAAACTGTTGCCACAAAATGTTAGAGTCCTGCATTATATTTGAAGAAATTAAATAATGAAAAATCTGCATAAATGATTGTCTATTTCTCGCATTGTGATAAAACAATGGTACATAGAGCCATCGAATTTTGAACGACAAAATCCTACTGCGAATATGGGCATCTGAAATCCCAAATTTGGAATTTGTTTTATTATAGATTTTATATTTTGTAAAACTTTAACGAATTTTTGATTTACAAACTCAATGCTTTAAAAGCGAAAAATGGCAACGTTATATAGAAAAAAAAAAAAAAAAATACTTTTATCTCCAGCTCGCGAGACTGTGTATATCGGAAATTCTAAAGATATGCTTAATTTAACATTATTTTGCGATATTGCTCTTGAACTGAATTTTATGGTTTAAGTGCAAAGAACATGATATTTAATAAATAAAGGTAACACTCAAAACGTTAAAAAAACGCCCCTTTGGACGTAATTTAAAATCTGAAAAATTTCAGATTTTTTTTTAGTCCAAAGGGACTTGAGTCCCGAAGGACTATTGCTTTCGTTTTGGCATTTTGCGTCGGACTCCTATAAATGTCGGTTCACTTTCCAAACTGTTGCCATAAAATGTTAGAGTCCTGCATTATATTTGAAGAAATTAAATAATGAAAATCTGCGTAAATGTATGTATATTTCTCACATTGTCATAAAATAACGGTACATAGAGTCATCGAATTTTGAATAACGTAATCCTCCAACAAATATGAGCATGTGGAAGACCGAATTTGAAATTTGAAATTTGTTTTATGATCGATTTCTTATTTTTTAAAACTTTGAAGAATTTTTGATTAACAAACTCAAGGATTTCAAAGCGAGCAATGGCAACGTTGTGCAGAAAAACATTTATATCTCCGCGTGAGTCTCTGTATCGGAAATTCTAAAGATATGCTCGTTTTAAAACTATTTTGCGATATTGCTGTTGCACTGGATCTTATGGTTTAAGTGCGAGGAACATGCTATTTAATAAAGAAAGGTAACACACAAAATGTTAAAAAACGCCCCTTTGGATGTAATTTAAAATCTGAAACATTTCAGATTTTTTTGTTTTATTAGTCCAAAGGGATTTGAATCCCGAAGGACTATTAGTTTCGTTTTGGCATTTTGCGTCGGACTCATAAATGTCGGTTCACTTTTCAAAACTGTTGCCACAAAATGTTAGAGTCCTGCATTATATTTGAAGAAATTAAATAATGAAAAATCTGCATAAATGTATGTATATTTCTCGTATTGTGATAAATCAACGGTACATAGAGTCATCGAATTTCGAATAACGTAATCCTCCATCGAATATGAGCATGTGGAAGACCAAATTTGAAATTTGAAATTTGTTTTATGATCGATTTTCCTATTTTTTAAAAACTTTGACGAATTTTTGATTAACAAAACTCAAGGATTTCAAAGCGAGCAATGGCAAACGTTTGTGCAGAAAAAAACATTTTTATCTCCCTCCAGCGCGTGAGTCTCTGTATCGGAAATTCTAAAGATATGCTCGTTTTTAAAACTATTTTGCGATATTGCTGTTGCACTGGATCTTATGGTTTAAGTGCGAGGAACATGATATTTTAATAAATAACGGTAACACACAAAATGTTAAAAAATGCCCCTTTGGACGTAATTTAAAATCTGAAACATTTCAGAGTTATTTTTTATTTTTTTTATTTATTTTTTATTTTATTCATCTGAAGCGGTTTTTTTTTAACGAAACGAGAGGTCGAATTAATAAACAACGAAGATATTAATTTAATTAATGTTTTAGAACACAAAAATACGTCTGTAGATCTATGACTGAGAAGAATATATCTTGCTTTTCTTTTACCAGAGAGATCTGTTCCGTTCTTCATAATCTCTCTCTCGCTTCACTACCCAGAAGTTGCAACAAAAGGAAATTTTTTATTATGTATGTTTTATTGCTTTTGCTCACCGAAGTTTAAATATTTGACAGGCGAAATAGGACACAAGGGAAAATAAAATCAAGCTGCTCTTTGAAGATAATTTCCTTAATATTCGGGTTGGACCGATAAGAAAGAAACGGTTGCGGTTACTACAGCATCGGGTAAAAAATTCGAAGAGTTCTGGACAGAAACGATTAAAGCAGTTTTGGCAAAAGGGCTTGCTTGTGTTTATAA